GAACAGGACTTGAAACACTTGCTGCAGAAGACCAAGGACTACAGCCTTCAATATGTTTTGCATATTAATACCAAGAAGACAAAAATCCTCACCACTGGACCCACAGGTGCATCATGATAGATGGAAAGAAGACTGAAGTTGTCAATAATTTCATCTTATTTGAATCCACAACCAACACCCCTTAGTACCAGCAGTCACAAGATCAGGAGATGGATTGTATTGGAAAAGTCTGCAGTCAGGGACTTCTCCAAATTACTGAGGAGCAATGATGTTAGCTTGAGGACTAAGTTGTGCCTGATACAGGCCAGGGTTTTAAAATCATATGCTATGCATCTGAAAGCCAACAATGGGCAAAGATAACAGAAGAATAACTGATGCTATTGAGCTATGGTGTTGGGGCAGAGTACTGAACACCCCCCGCATTGCCAAAAGAGCAAACAGATATGCCTAAGAGAAAGTGTTGCCATCTTTGGAGGCAAAGATGGCAAAGCTTTGCCTTGCACACTTTGGGCATGTTTCTAGGAGAAGGGATTCCTTGGAGAAGGACGTCATGCTTACAAAGGTGGAGAATCCGTGAAGAAGAGGAAGATCCCTGACAAGCTGGACTGACACAGTGACTGCAGCAATGAGCTCAAGCATGTCAAGAGATGCTGGGAATGGCACAGGCGAGGACATAGTTCAGATCTGTTGCTCGCAAGATCGCTATGATCTGTACTTCTCTCGATGGCACCCAACAACAACAATAGCAACGAAGGTTGGAGGTTTGAACCAACCCACGCCTGCCAATCTGCTCCTTAAAGATTAAAGCCCAGGAGATCTTGGGGATAGTTCCACTCTATCACCTTAGGTCAACATGCATTACAAAGGGACTTGTTAGAAATCTGGCGGCGGGGGGCGGAAACTGAACTAAATAAAAAGTGACTTCTTAGGATTTAACAACCACATAAAAAATAAGATTGCCTCAAATGACATTTTTTAGATGATAGACTGAATTTTTGATCAATAAAGGTAGTTGACAAAATAAAATTGCAACCTAAGGAGGAGGGGATGACCTGAGGTGGAGTCGAATTGATGACTGTGTAAACCTCTATTTGATTTTTCTGAGATTAGTCCTTAGAGGGGGAATATGGGCCAAGAGTCTAAACATCTTTAGTGTTTCAACACATGATGACAAAGCACCTGTGAAAAACAGCACACCAGTTCACATTCTAAACACCACTCAAGAGCCTCATCTCAACATTCTTGCTACAATTCAGTATTCTTCTTTTCGAAGGTTAACTTTATTGAAGAGAGAAGTGGTAGGGCTACATTTGTTGAAAGTTTTCTCTCTTGACCACCTGGGCTTCCTTCTGGAACTGCCCATTACTGAGTTGTAGCTCTTTATATGTAAATGAGAAACTGCCTGTAATCACTGCAAATTCCCAAAGGAGGCTCACCCATAACATTCCCTTAGTTATAGATTATATAGCGTAAAATTGGGTTACATTAGCAGACTGCAAATTCTACCTGTCTTTTTTGGTGCTGGACAAAGCCATTTGATCTTTTGGGTGGGTGCTCTAGCCATGATGCCCGATGGTCAGTTAACATAAACCTCTTCTGCTACCCCTAACTCTAACCCTAGTGAGGAACTGTTTCCTACCCAGACCTGTCAGTATATGAAGTTACATTCAGGCAAAGGGCTTTTCAGAGCCTAGACTAGTAGTAGGCACGAAGGTGAATAAAAACCGACCAGACTGGCAAGACATAATCCCTGGGCTATGCAATTGGCTAAGAACTGAATTACTAGCCAAAAGATTGGCAGCTCAAATCCATTCAGAGGTACCTGGTGATTTGTTTCCAAAAGATCACAGTGTCTCAAGTCCTGCAGAGCAGTCTGCTTGTTTTACACCTGAGGTCACCATGGGTTGAACTTTACTAGACAGACATCAACAGTAGCAACAGACCAGCATGACAGGGCTTACTAATGTACCATTCAGTTTAAACCTACTGCTCTTCGTCTTTTCACTATGTGATCCTGGACAAACTGATCTTCGTAGGTCATATTTTCCTAATCCAAGGAATGACATCTGACAGCCACTTTATAGGAGGGCTATGAAGCCGGGACCTAATATAGGCCACGGCGCATGGCTGGCCTGCAGGAAGTGTTCGTGACTTTCTACGTCCTTCTATGCCAGCTAATATACACCCAGGATTTGCTGGCTTAAATAGATGTTTTTACATAGCTACATCTGTCACTTTAATTTTTTTTAACCATAGTATTTTTCTTTGTGTGTGTGTGTGTGTGTGTGTGTGTGTGTTTTCAGTGAATGTTATGGCTTTTTTTGTTACTCTCAAGAGCAATGAAGAGACATGTAGTACTATAAAATTAATGATTTCTGGCACTGAAGAAATTCCACATTTTAACTCCGCTCATCTCAGACAGGTTTGTCCTAGGGAAGGTGAAAGGGTGAAACCAGGCTGCTCCTTGGAGGCAAAGATTCTGAAGCTTCGTCTGACATACTTTGGATATGTTACAAGGAGGGACCAGTCCTTGCAGAGGACATGCTTGGGAGGGTGGAGGGACAGTGCAGGAAAGACACTCGATGAGATAGATTGACTCAGTAACTAGGGTAATTGGGGTAAGTGTGTCAGAGACAATGAAGTTGGCAGGATTCAGAGCTGTTGGACATAGGGTCGGTTTGAGTCACAAATGATTCGGCAGCATATAACACCAAAAACATCTCATACTCCTCATAAAAAGCCAAAACAGAACAACTTCCTACTTCAAACCAGACTAGTCCTAGTTAGTTCTACTTAGTTCATGAGACATCCTGAACATCTGGATGTCATTTTCCTCTCTTCTCTATTACTCTCTAGCTACCTGAATTCTTTTCACTGAGAACATTTACTGAGTGTTTTCTACATGTCAGATACTGTTTAAAGAGTATTGCTTGTCTTATTTAATCTTCTTATTTCCCACAGAACAGATGCCATCATCTATCTCTGAGCTGTGGTGGTGAAGAGGACTGAATATCCCATGAACTGCCCAAAGAACAAACTGATATATCCTGGGGAAAGTGCAGCTATTGTGTTCCTTGGAGGCAATGACAAAGCTTCATCTCACATACTCTGGCCAATGTTGCTAGGAGAGACTGTTCCTTGGAGATGGATATCATTCTCGGAAAGGTGGAAGGACGACAAAGAAGAGGAAGGCCCTCAATCAGGAAAAGTGGAAGAGTGGGGGATGGTGAAAGAGAAGAAAACCCTGAGCCAGATAGACTGACACAGTGACTGCTGCAATGGGCTTGGGATGTTAGAAATAATGAGGATGGCATGTAATAATAACGATGGTCTGTTGTTCAAAGGGTCACTGTAAGTTATACTCCATCTAACAATAACAACATCTCTACTACCTAGGTAAGAAAAGGTATTTATTTGTTTTCTCTAATTAGGCTGCACACTCTTTTGTAACATCAACCATGTTTTGAACATCTTTGTATAATCATATAGTTAAGCAAGCTGATAGACATAGGGACTGATTATGCTTTTGCCATACTTTCGTTAATGCTGCTCATTTTCATCAGATCTTTTTCTTCACCAGACCGTAAAGTGGGAAAACATGGTCTAAACTGTGTAGACGCTGATGGCTATTACCAGGGACCTGGGTTCATCTGCAGACATGTACCAAGTTTCCGAGTCCTAAGCAATAACAATGGCTGAAGAAGCAGGGTTTAGGTTCTTAGCAAGGAGTTCTTGTGGGAAGCAGGATTAGGGCAGTTTGCTCATTTTTGATCAAGACAATTGTAAGCAAGAGGGGAAAAAACTCAGGGAGATTTAAAATTGTGAGTAAGTGTAAACAAACAAAATTCGCTATATAGGACAATATATTTACCTGTATTTTGTATATTTCATAAGGCACTTGGACTTAAGAGAAAAGAGAAATTCTAGAGTACTAATTCTCCACTGGATTTGTTGTTATTAGGAAACATTAACATTTTCCTTGGGTTTAAATCAATATCCAGCAAAATCATCTCCCCTTGCTGGGAGAAACAATCATCTGGGTTCCTTACAAAACAAAATGTGCTTCAAGGGACATTCTCATATAATACAATGATGGTAAACAGAATTTATGTTCTTCCTAGACCTCCTGATGATTTAGGAAAAACATTTAAATCACAGCTCTTTCATAACATACATATTTAGTCAAGTCCAAAGAAAGGCAAGCTCAAATAATACTCATGACTGAATTATTAATAATGGGAAATAATAATGCATGCTTTTAAGCAAAATTCACCACTTAAGATGAATCATGGTTTATGGTTAACTTGTGAAAATGAAATGTTACCTTTTTTAATATGCTGCTAACTCCTTGAAAAACTAAGGATGCTGAAGTTTTCAAATTAGCTTATTTACAGTTAAGATCGAAAATGAGAAAAGCTACTTTGGTGATGAAATCATATGCTTAATTCATAAAGAAGAATGAAAGAAGTGTTACTGTAGCACACAGGACACTCCGGTAGGGGGTGGGGGAGGTTAATCAATTCAACTCAATTTTAGCTGAGGGCATTTTTCCATGACTGCTGAACCCTGGCATGTGTCAGGCAGCTAAAATGACATTAAAACGTGGAGCTCTACTGTAATTTTCGAGATTACCCAGGAAGCAAAGAGAAAGCCAAAAATTCCCCCTACATTTTTAACAAGAAATGCTTTCATCTTCTAGAGAATTCCATGGCTTTTTCTGTTTTAAGATCTTTATGCATTGTCACCCCTTCTGTGTATGTTTGAAAGCTTCCATAACAGTTGCTCCCTGGAAGAAAGATGGGCAGTCTCTCCCTGTAAAGACTTATTAGATCCATGGTCTAATGAGGGACAGTCGCTCTGAGTCGGGATCTACATGATGGCAGTGGGAGGCAGTCAGTATCACAGTGAGTTAAAGAAATAAAAGTTCAAAAAGAAAGAACAACAACTGAAATGATTCAATCTGCACGTTCACCACTGTACCTTTTTACAACAATTCTTACCAGTCTCTGTTTCTGAAGCTCTTCTCGAAGACATCTGTCTTCTGGTAAAACATCACACAACAAAAAATAATTGTCTTGTTCTTCTGTGGAGAGATTAAGAAAATAAAAGGGGGAAAAAAGAGGTTATTTATTATTTGCCCCTAAAAAGAGATTTATACCTGTATGTATGTGTGGATGCGCATGTATTAGGCCCCCCTCTGGTGTTTAGTTCTTGTTTATAGCTTTACTCATGATGTTGTTGTGTACCATCGAGTCGGAACCAACCCATAACTGACCCTCTGGTGGGTTTTCAGAGGCAGTTAATTGCACGGGAGGAGACTGCCCATCCTTCTCCCGCAGAGTGGCCGGTGGCTTCAAACTGCATGCCTTCGTGATGACAGTGCAGCTTCTTGCCACCAGGCTATCAGAGATAGGCAAGATAAATACAGCAACTTAATTTTAGCTGTTATGAAAGGGAGAGCAATGCTAATTTAAAAGAGTAGGAATATTCCTTCCAATTCTTGGATTGTAGTGAAAAGCTAGTAGCCAAGATGTGTGTGTACTTACCAGGCGGAGCGGTGGAATTGATTCTTATCACACTGCAAAAATTTGTGATGGGCTGCTCAGTGAACCTTTTCCTCCAGTATAGAATGTACCTTAAAAAAAGAAAAAAGTAAGGCTGGTGAGAAGATTCAATACTGCACCCATTCCTTACTTACCAAACGTCTTGTTATCTGACAGTTCACATTTATGGTGGTGATGATGATGATAATAGTAATAATAATAATAATAATAATAATAATAATATCAACTACTATTTTACTATCCTGTGCATTAACAGTGCATGTCTGACAGTAATGAATGGGGAGGAGTTGATTCTCAGTTGTCAGGCAATTCTGTAAGGATTAATTTGACAGTATGTAAAGATATAGTAATCCTTCATTTTGCAATTTGATATGGTCAGTATTCATTTTAGGTAATACCTATTTTTGCATGAAAAATTGGTCTATTCTTTGGAATCTAACTATGATAAGGAAAAAGTGGGCATATTTTCTTTAGAATGATAAGATTTTACAAAAACATTTGAGCTGCCAATTCAAAAGTTGTTGTTGTTGTTAAGTGCCGTCAAGTCGCAGGTGACTCATAGCGACCCTAGGAAGGAGAGTCCTCGATGCTTGGGTGTCTTTCATCCTCTCTCCAGGTTCATAGCAAGCTATTAAGGAAGTGGATGCCATTCCTCCTTCCACGCTTGTTTTAATCGGGGAGCTCCACCCCACTCTCTGTCCGCATTGGGTAGCCAACCATTAACGCATTTGACACATCCGTGTCACAGTGTTCAGCCTCACAGCAACCACAAGTGACCGCGGGACGGCAACTTGTACACCAGGGCTAAGTACATAGTTCAAATCCACCACCCACCAGCTAGACGGGAGACTGATGGCAATCTCCTCCTGTGTGATTTACAGCCTCTGCAAACCTGCTGGAGGGCCAGCTGGGAGTTGGTTCCATGATGGCACATAGCAATAACAATAATAAAATAGAGCTAGAAGGAAAAACAAAATAATAGCTAATAATAATAATAATAGTTAATAATAGAAATTTTAGAAATAGAAAGGTGGTAGACACTATTCAAATTGAAGTGAGCACTTAATGAAATAAAATTATTTTGTAAAATCAAGGAAATTATTAAATTTTTAGTAATCTTGAACTCAATAAAAAATATGGGAAAGTTAAGATGAATTTTTTAACGTGATAATTTTTTTTAATGACAGATAAATTTATGTGAATTTAAAATCCAACAATTATTATCAGGATCTGGCATACATTCTTCAATAAGCAAAGCTGAGTGGTTACGTAACTTAAAAAAAAAATAGAGGTCACAAGAATAACACAATGACAAATTCTTCTCATTGGAAAGGAAAATTCATTATCAGTAACAAGACAGAGAAATTCTACATGATCACCCTGTGTCTGAAACAAGGAAAATTAGCCTTTGGAAAAATAATCAGGGTTACAATTCTAACATCTAATGAGCAAAGTCAGTGGAAGTACACTAGCTAAATTTAAAAGGAAAGCATTAATACTCAGACTTGCAATTCTGAAGCAATTGGGAGTCAGGTGACAAGGACTCAAAGATCTGTTCATCTTTCCAGTTATCTAATATGATTTATATTGGCAACTGAGATTTCTTTTGTCAAACAGGACCAAGACTGTGGGCTCTTTCACAGGGAGAATGGAAAGGCAAAGATGGCCTCTCTATAGCTCACAAATCATCAGGCTATCCAATTGATGGGTTAAAAAGAGAAACCTTATAACAAGGAACTAAAGTCCTGTAGAAGGCTCGGACATTAGAGAAGTGGATGGAGTGCCCAGAATAAGTAGGTGGACATGTTAACTGGCTTGAATGAACAGTGTTTTCATATTGTAGTGAATTATTATAACTCCTAGCATACAGTAGGACTCTTGTTACTATTATGTACCATCAAAATGACTGTGACCTCATAGTGACTCTATGAACGATGGATCTGAAACCTGCTTTATCCTGTGCCATCCTCAACAACTCCAACACACCTGCACCTACTGCTAATGCCACTGCGTCAATCTAGCTTGTTGTGATCTACCTCGTGTGACTCTCCACCTTCCCAAGTATGCTATCCTTCTCCAAGGACTGGCCCCTCCTAACAATATGCTCAAAGGACATGAAGCAAAGTTTCACCGTCCTTGCCTCCAAGTAGCACTCTAGTTTCACTTTCTCTGAGATATACCTGTTTGTTTCTGTGGCAGGCTGTGGAATAGTCAGTCGTCTTCACCACCACCACAACTAAAGGTATTGCTGCCTTTTCTGTCTTCCTTATTCAATGTCCAGCTCTCAGATGCATTGCAAGCAATTGAGAGGATCATGGTTTGGATGAGGTACACCTTAGTCTTTAAGCTGATATCATTGCTCTTTAATCTTCTGTAGAGATCCCTGTCAACAGGTTTTCCAGGTATGATTTGTCTTTTGATTTCTTGACTTTGGATATCAAGGGTGTTGATCATGGATCTAAGCAAGATGAAATCACTGACTTCAATCTCTTCTCCTTCTACCAGACTACATAAACATTAGGTGTTTGTGCACCACCAGGTGGGTTGGACAGCTTGCTAATAATGTAAATAAGGTACACAGAACCTCTTAGGAGGAAATAGGAATAAAAAAGGTATAGAATATTAACATGGGGAGTTGTGGTTGAGTGATAATGAGCTGCGCTGCCAACACAAAGGGATGCAGTTTGAATCCACAACCAGCTGCTCCATGGGAGAAAGACTGGCAATGTGATTTACGGCATCTGTAAACCTGCTGGAGGGTCAGCTATGGGTTGGTTCAAACTCAATGGCACACAGCAAAAGGGTGTTACCATGGGGACTGGTAAATTCTCTCATGATACCAGGTTTAAAGGAGCAAGCTCAAGGGTGGAAAACGGCACTCTCACTACCATCCAGAAGGAAGATGAAAGTGTGGTGAGTCCTGCGGGTCAGAGAGATCTATGCAAAGAAGGAACAAGACTGACACATGAGTGAGACCAGCCAGATGACAGTCTAGGTGGCATGAGAGGTGACAGTGGCTTCCTCTGCCACCCAAGACCAGTTCTAGCACCCTCCACTCCTCAGTGTCCTACACAGATACACTTATTTTCCGCTTTTCTATTTCTCACTAGTCACTTCTTTTTCCCGTAAGTGATAAGGGAATAAGAAGACAGAAAAGACAAAAGAAAGTCCTAAGAGAATAAAGTGGCATTCCAATTCCTCCTTCATATTTTTCTCATACCATATATTCTATTTTTAAACGGTCAAAGCCATGAAGCACTTGTACTAGGGACGTTAAGAACAGAAGATGGAGTGTTCTTTCAAAATCAAGTACACAGACATCTATTTTCAATGAGAAGTAAAATTTACATGGCCAAACAAGATGCTGTGTCAACCGATTTCAAGATGGGAGGGAAAAGCTGTTTGGAGTTGCCTTTGAATACCTTGAAAATAATAAGTAGAGGCCACCATTCCACTGAGGACCACTGAGCAAAATCTTCTGGACACACTAAGAGTTGTTGTTAGGTGTCAACAAGTCTGAACTTTGCACTATACTGTGCCATTTGCACAATCTGCTCCACGCTCACACCCACTGCGTCATCACTGTGTCAATCCATCTAGCTAAAGATCATTCTACTTTTCACTGACCCTCTGCCTTTCCCACCAGGCTAGCTTCTTCTAAAGACGGGGCCCTCCTGACAACAAGTGCAAAGGATGGTGAGACAAAGTCTCGTCATCCTTACCTCTGAGGAATAGTTTGTACTTCCTCCAAGACAGATTTGTTTGTTCTTTCAGCAGATTTGTTCTTTTGGTAGATTTAGTACTTTTTCACCAACATCACAAGTTAAAGACATCAATTCTTCTTCTGTCTTCCTTATTCATCGCTCGACTTTCAGATATATAGGAAACAACTGAAAATACTATGGTTTGGATGAGGTGCACCTTAGTCTTTAAATGGACCTCCTTGCTCTTTTGCACCATAATGAGGTCCATGACAGCAGATTTTCCCAATGTGACGTGTCTTTGATTTCTTGACTGTTGCTACTATGGGTACAGACTGTGAATCCAAGTAAAAGGAAGTTGCTGACAACTTCCATCTTTTCTCCATCTTCCAAGATGTTGACTATTGGTCCAGTGGTGAGGATTTTCATTTGTTGAGGAGATCTAACCTATATTGAAGGTTACTGAGGACAGCTGTTGTCATTGTTATGTGCCATCGAGTTGGAATCAACTTATAGCTGACCTTCTGGTGAGTTTTCAGAGGCTGCAAATAGCATGGGAGGAGACTGTTCACCTTTCTGCTGTGGAGCAGCTGGTGGATTGGGATCGTTTGCCTTTAGAGTGGCAGCACAACTCCCTATCTATCAGAGGCTACCAGAGCTCCCTTGAGAACAGCTGTTATTTTCCTGTGCTACTGAGATGGATCTGACCCATAGCTGACCCTCCAGCAGGTTTTCAGAGGCAGTACATTGTACAAGAGGAGAATATTTTGCCTACGGAACAGCTTATAGATTTGAACCAAGTTCCTTGGGGTTGGCAGCACAGTTCCTTACCTCTAAGCCATCAGTGCTCCCATAATAGCAACCTGTGTAAAAATCTGTAAAACAAAGAACCAGGGAAGAACCTGTGTCCTAGCAACCAGACTGCCTTCTGAATTCTCACTGACCGATTATTGTAATGAAGAGTCACCAGTGGTCCTCTTATCTACACAAACCCTGTGCTAAGAGCAATCTGTTTTTTAAATTATGATTATGGTCAAATGCTCACAGTTGATCTATTATGAATTGACTTGATCAACCTTGGAGACTGGGTGGTTTTGTGTTCGGAGAAATGAATTTGAATTTAGTTATTTATTTAACCTTCCTGAAACTCAGTCTTAACGCTGGCAAAATGAATTGTTAATAATTTCATTTATAATGTAAATTAAGAAGGGTTAATAAGGATATTCCTTTATGATGGCATTCAGAAAAACTACTCTGAATTCAGAGACACAGATGCCTGCTTCTTGTGGCATTTCCCCACCCTCATTTACTACAATAGAGTTTTCAAGGTTAAGAGATTACTTAACACTATTCATTTCTCCCTGGCCCTC